AGTTCGTGATAAAATTTCATAGATTAATTATCTTTATGTCAAATACTTATCTTATCAGAAGGGGTTTGTGGAGAGTTTTAGAAATTTCACAGATAGAAATCATGAGTCAGTTGAAGCTAGACCACCATGGAAAACCTGGAAGCACTGAACGGCCGTTTCGTCCTAGTATGGGACTCCTCAGCAGTTCAACCAGGTCTGTTGTGAGATATCAGCTCACTGAACACAATGGTATATGATGGTGCAACTTCGTGGATTGGTTGAAGTTAGACATTAACACCGTTGGATGCCGGCTCAGTGGTCTGATGGTTAAGCGCTCGCGCGCGAAGCCAGTAGGTCCTGGGTCGAATCCCGCGGGGTGCGGGATCATGGATGCGCACTACTGAGGAGTCCTATACTAGGATGAAACAGCCGTTCAATGCTTCCAGGTTTCCCATGGTTGTCTACCTTCAACTGACTCATGATTTCTATCTGTGAAATACTTATCTGTCAATATTTGATAAACATCTAAACAGTAAACAGTTGAATCAGTATATAAAAAACGAAGAAATATTGATGAATCATTGATTATGTAATGCACATTAGATTATTAAAAAAGTGTCAATAATTAGGTAGAATTACTTTTCATAAAAGAATATAATAATAATAATAACACCAAACTGTGACAATCCTCACAAATAAACTGTTTAATGTAGGTTCTTAAGTCAAAATCTGACATTTATCATTCTGAAGTACTTATGCTATTGTAGTTGTCACATATTTTTTTCAGAAAGAGAACTAATATTTTTCATACAATTAGAGAAAAACAATTGTATATTTACACGATGAATCATTATTACGTTTTACGACAATGCAACAAGAAGACGGAGTTTATCTGAATTATGTGATATAATTGCGCAAATCTAAGACCATTTATATATGAAAATTAAAAGGTCGACTAGACAGGTTAAGGGTAAGTCATAACAAAGAAAAAATAATAATATTAAAGTACACAAAAACAAATGTGATTACCACTCTGGATAATAAATCAGTATTACCAGGGTAGGTTAAGTGTAAGGATAAATTGTTTTTGAACACATAAAGGTGGTTTCAATTTCCAAGGCTTCAATAAACCTTAGTATATATCCTTGAAGGCCTTTGGATAACACTACAAATGCTGACTTGATGTCAACCTTATCATCAGTCTCAATCAAATATTTCGCAATGGAGGATGATGTCTGTCTATCCTGTGATCTTGATTGACCATTGGAATTCATTTGTTTCTGCAACCATTTTGGTATGTGTTCATCCACCCTTAATTGCAAATCACGATTGTTTCCGCACATAAATGTAAATTCATAGACACAATGGGATGTGACACAATCGCTTTCGTGCTCTTTCGGCTTTTGTTGAAACATAGACCCTGTCTTTTCGATAATGACAAGTTGGGCTGCATGAAATGTCCGGTTGATAGCTAATTTAAGTCCACGTTTCAACATGAGACTATTTGTGTCGCCTCTGAATTATTATTATTTTTTCTTTGTTATGACTTACCTTTAACCTGTCTAGTTGACCTCTTAATCTTCATATACAAATGTTCTTTACAAGTATATGTGTATATGTTCCTAAATCCGTAACATAGTAGAACATACTGAATCTCAATAATCCGATACAATGACTTTGCTTACAAGTTGACTGCCATATCATATAGATAAATTAAGCTACACAAAAAACTAACTGGTGCAGAGAGGCATCGACTATAAATCAGCACAGTGAAAAACGAGATATACAGTATCAAAGCAAAAAAGTCGGACCAACAATAATAATAGTAAAGTCACATCAAATTAAAATAACCCATCATGTCATTGAACAAAAATAGAATTCAGTGAGGCAAATTTTCTTTTCGATGAAATCATTTACTTAACCTATACATTCGTATTTATAGTTGTATGATAAGTATATAAAGATAGAAAAGATTGCATCATAAAGTGATTCAAGACTCTAATTATCAAATGAAGTTACGTAATAATTAGGGGATTAGATAAGAATATAAGAATGTAAAGTTGAAATAAATGATTTCGTCGAATGGAAAATTTTCTTCGCTGAACTCTCTTCTTTTTTTTATTCAACTATATTAAATTACACAGATTGAAATCATGAGTCAATTGAAGCTAGACCACCATGAAAAACCTGGAAGCACTGGACACCGCTTGGTGCGAGACTGATAGGTCCTGGGTTCAAATCTCGCGGCTGGCGGGATCGTGGATGCGCACTGCTAAGGAGTCCCATACTAGGACGAAACGGCCGTCCAACGCTTCCAGGTTTTCCATAGTGGTCTAGCTTCAACTGACTCATGATTTCAATCTGTGAAATTTCTAAAATCTCCACAAACCCCTCCTGACATATCAAATTAATTGGTAAATTAATTTTAAAGAAAACAATTTCGATAGCAGGTAATTAAAATGAAAAAAAACTTTCAAAACTATGTATCAAAAGTACTTGATGTTTGAAAAAAAAGTTAATTGATGAAAACATCCGTAAAAACTAATGATAACAATAATAATAGTGATCATAATAATAATAGTAATATTAATTTTATAAATAGTCAGACATAATCTCTTCTGGTAAACAGATAGATAACTGCAATTAGTTTAACTAAGGTTTCTGCTTAATTTATGTTATTTATTCAATAATCAAACAATAAAAAAAAAAGGTGGTTTAGAAATGTTGAACAAGGGAAAAAGTTGGAATAAAATGAAATGAAGATTTCAAAAAATAATGAAAATTATAATAAATTGAATTGATTTATTTAGTATTGTTTTTTATTTACTTAGTGGTTCATTTATAGTTTACAAATATAAATTGATTGACATTTAGAAGTGATTCAATATGGAAACAAAAATAGACAAGTGAAATTGTTTACAAACACTAATATATATATATATATATATATATATATATATATGATATTAAATTGTATAAACTTTTGTAGAGACAATCATATTAGAATAGAACTATCTGGAAAGTTAGTCAATGATGAAGAAAACTTGTAGCTCAGACGGATGCTTTTGATGGTGTTGTGTTTTCGGGTATAAATGGATTATCAGTATGATGATTGTAGGGATTGTTAGATTTTATTGGGATCACAAACTAAACTAAGTCAATAGGTATCATTACCAAGGTTTGATTTGATAATTTCGAATATATTGAGCATTGGGTAGATTGTTATAAATAAAAATAATAAATTTGTAATATCTTAATGGGTAGAAAAATTAGATTTTCTGACGTTTCGTGACTCAGTGTAAGCCACTTCTTCAGAGAACAAATAACCAAATTAAAACTAACCCAAGTTTAAATAGTACAACGGAACAATCATTTTAACTTGGATTATTCTTAATTTGGTTATTTATTCTCTGAAGAAGTGGCCTACACTAAGTCATGAAACGTCAGAAAATCTAATTTTTCTACTCATTGAGACATTACAAATATATTATTTATTTATAAACCAAGTTAAACAACCAATGAGAACCTAGAATAACATGATAGCCTTCTTGATGTAGTACACTCATTTCTAACCCCGATATTGCAATTCGAACCGGGGGCGTTAGACCTTGTGTAAGACCCGATGGTATATAAATTTGATTGCTGAGGTTTAATTTCCGTTCTAAGTAACATCTCCAGTGTCTACCTCATGCAGATGTCCAGAATGATAATGAAAAAGTCGCAACAACGTCATTTAGCTCAGAGAGTACAACATCATTGAAAGTTAATCAAGTTATTTGTTTAAATATAGTCAAAATCAAATGAGATGAGAATTTAAAAAAATTTGCCATTACTTTATTTAATGGAAACGTAGTAGTAGTGAAATTAAAATAAGTCTAACAATACGTTCATGGTATCACCAGTGAATTTTCCCTAGAACATGAACTACTACATATGTAATGAAGCACAATGTGAGCACGGTAATCACTCATGAATGAGAAAAGTGTATTGCAGGATCTATCAACCTCATAATAGTGAATCAGCCAATCAGACATTATAGTTACAATTTTCATTCTTTATTACTTCGGATGTGTTAATTTTGTTATTATTTATTAATAATATTACTAGTATTATTACCAATCTTGGCTTAAACTCTCATAGTTAATAATAATCCAGCTTATATTTAATGCTAATTGTCTGATCTAGTTATAGATTGTGTTCGAAAAAATTAGTAAGAGAACACAAAGTGACAACCCGTAACATGATATCGATTAAAAAGAGGGACAACCAAAACACCCTGCATTAATAAGGGTGATCACCAAAACGACACATACTAATAGGTGTGGGAATTCGTCCTTTGTTGTAGAAGAATGGGATAGGATGCAGATAGCATATTACCATCAATCAACTGAATTCTAAAAATTGTGGACTGTTAAATTCCATTTAATAGCTGTAATTTTTTTTGCTGCAAAAGCTGAACCTTTCCGTATTAAGTCGCTGAAGATTCATGCTTTTGCATAACTGAGAAGCACCAGATAAAAATGAAACATCTATCTAAAATACGACACTGGTTTTTAATGATTTGTTAATTAAGTATTGTCAGTTTGTGATGAAGATTATCATCCTATGGAACAGAAAGGAAATTAGCTGGTTTATAAAATTTGACGTCCATCCTATTTTTTCTTTCAATTCATCTAAGAAAAATAAATATCCTTCTGAGTGTTTATCATCGTTTTTATGTCAGCATCATTTGCATATAGTTAAAAAGAAAGTTATTCATAATTGATGACAGATTTTTCCATGATGAAAAAAAATCAAATGTGTTATTTAAGTGAAAATTACATTCGGATTGAACAAATTTAGCTTAAACATTCATGCTACTTATGATTAGTATAATAACTTAGAGTAAAAATTCGTGGTTTTCTACAGAAATTAGGGAGGATTTGATCAAAAGTTAACTTCGAAATAATTCTACTAATCATAAACATAATAGAATATTAATTAGAATAAGAAGACAAGTTATTTTGAAAAGGGGAACTTACATTTCTCTAAAAGTATGGGTGGATTGTACACTAAGCTTGTTTGACTCCAGTAAAGTGGCACAGATCCACGACATTGGAGAAATACAACTGTGTGTGGAAATTGACCGATATCTGTATGCAAAATCTGTACGAAATTTTAAAAAATAATAATGACAATTACTACTATTATTAAGGTGTGCAATTAAACAAAAAATGGAAATTTTGTATGACTAATTAAATCCCAAGTTGACTGTTTGAATATTTATTTAGGCTGCCTGTTCCTGCCATCTAGATATTTCAACAAGTTATCCGTTTCTGTTTGTTTTAACACATCATTATGTCTATTATTCGCATGACTTATTCAAGCGCGTTTATGGAAACTTCAAGACCTTTGGATGCACAAGTTATAAAAAAGTACAATTAGAGATATCATGGGGGCTGGCGATATGCATTGAAAAGAATGAACACTAGATGTTGATTCCTGAACAGTTAACTCCTAACTGGTGACCACTCAATATTCATTGTCAGGATCTATCAAGAAATACGAAACCGAAAATTGTTTAAATGCTCTGTGTTAAGAATTCTATATTGTAACAAAAATATAATATTGAACAAAGCCATTATTAATAATTCAGAAATGATATTACATTTAGAAAACGACAGCATGTAAAACAATAAAACTACATAGTTGAATGACAAATGTGGGTCTGAACTGTTAAACCAAAAGATATGAAACAAATAAACAGAAATTTAACATTTCAATTGTACAATAATAAAAAAAGTACAAATGTTTTTTTGATTGTTTAGTGTAAACCGATGGATAGAATTTATCAAGCTAGTCTTATTATATAATCATTATTTGTATTATAACTAACATAACGGTTTCATCTTGCTTGCTTTACATGGTAAGATCTTTTGTACATGTAAATGAGCTTCAATCTAAATTACAATGTTTGTATATTATAATTTATGTCAGATTATTATCTTTACGATTGGCTGACACATTTCAATCATTTCTTCTAAATGTCAGTAACTAAAGTATTTTAAACACACATTCTTAGTCATATTGTAGTGAAGGAACACTCAGGTGAGCGAAACCAATTTATTGCTTAATACGAAACTATAGAATGCTCTTATAAGTTATGACAACGATACATTCAATACATTATTTACACATCTTTATTCATTTGTACATGCTTCATGATTCTTTCAAGTCTGTTGTTATTATCATTGCTGATTGTTTCTCTTTCCCTTCTCTTCAATTTTCTGCTAACAGGCTTTCTCCTTCCGACTGGTGCTACATACTACTTATATCTGTCAACATAAGTAGCATACACCATAATATTGTTCTTTGTAATTTTAAACAATTGATGCTAAGTTGTTGAACTTTAAATGAATGAATTTTATAATGAAAGTCTTGTCATGTTTGTGTTATTCAAAATTATAAAAAGGAAATATTAATTCACTGAATGATTTATTTGGTTAGGTGGAATTATTGTTTCGCAAACTTATTTCAAATGTAGATAGTTTCGAAAAGAAAAAGAAAGAAAAGTAATAGACTTAATGATTTACTATTTCATCCAAAAGATTTATAGTTTAAATTTTATTCAAGAAAAACTACCTGGAACGATATATGAAAAGGTAACTTTCATTATAGAAAATTATAATTTACAATTGATTGATTACTGGGTGGCGATCAATGTCATATGTGATAGGTCTATTTTAGTGCAGATCGAATCCTATCGATCAAATTGCAACGTGGCCACCAGTCTAGGTGACTCGATATTGCATGCACTGTGTTGAGATTAGATGGTGGTTGGAGGTAGTCAATAGGAAACCCTGGACCTAGGTTTCGTGCTGCTTGGCACTCGTCAGCAAGGTATACCTGTAATCTTGAGAACTGATGCTTCATGATTGGCTCGATCCCATGTCACCCAGCTTCATAGTCAGAGACGTTACCACCGAGGTATCGGGGCCGCGACTGACCTTCTGTGGGACTAAGATTCATGTAGGATTTGGTGACACGGGACCGAAACCATCAGGGAACATCAGTTCTCTCAAGATTACAGGTACACTTTGCTGACGAGTGCCAAGTAGCACGAAACCTAGGTTCAGAATTCCCTGTTGACTACCTCCAACCACCATCTTATCTCAGTGTAGAAAATTATAAGCAATACCATAGGAAGAATAAATACAGAAAAACCTACTTGTTCTGTTTCAACATAATTAGCCACATGACCATTCATATCAATTCCACGACGTCTATAACGAGTACCTAGAAAAACAAAAGAGAAAAGTAATAAGTAAGAGTAGAGTTTTTATTTTACACTATAAATGAAAATAAAATGTACCCAAATATCATACGAAGCTTAATTGATTTGATTCATGTATAATAAAGGATGGAAAGTGAATAGTCTATTAAGAATTAATCAAAAACAATGAATTAATTCACATTTAATTCTGAAAATTATTCAAACAAAATGTTTTATGAATTCCATTTCAATAATTCATTATATAAGACTATTAAAAAACTGTTGACTATTACATAAAAACGAAGTAATATCTGATGTCAATAGTTAAAATCATGAGTTGATTGAAGCTAGATCATCATGTGAAACCTGAAAGCACTGGACGGTCGTTTCGTCCTAGTGCGGGACTCCCCAGCAGTGCACATCCACGATCCCGCCAGCCGCGAGATCCGAACCCAGGATATATCAGTCTCGCGCGCGAGCACTTAACCACTAGACTAATGAGCTGACCGGCATCCAACGGTGTTAATGACTAACTCTAACTAATCCACGAAATTGCACCACCATATACCATTGTCTTCAGTGAGCTGATATCTCACAACAGACCTGGTTGTACTCCACTGGTAACGGTTTCCCACTAGAACTCCAGGAGTATCTCTTGAAGTCAGTCGCTAGTGAGCAGATGATTATTATCAGAAGGAGTTTGTGGAGATTTTCAGAAATTTTCACCGATTGAAATCATGAGTCACTTGAAGCTAGACCACCATTGAAAACCTGGAAGCAATGAATTAATGAGTAATGTGAATGGAATGTTGAATGAAACTGGTTTAAAAGACTTAATCAATTTAATAAGCAAACAAAAATGTATATATCAAAAAAGACAGATATAAGATATTTTGTAGATTAGGTATTATGTGGTAAAAGACAAAGAAAAAAACGGGTCAGTTGTTCAATAAAGTAATTTTATTCATTACATAAAAATATTTCATCCAATTAGTTCCATTTATGAAATTAAATAAAGCTAGAACAAATATGGATACAGAATAATATGAATTCATTATATTTCGTGGTTTCTCATCAGCTACTAATAACCAAATATGTATTAGAATTTTACATTAAAGATATAGTGTGAAACAATTGACATAGGTGAACGAAAAAAGCTGGAATGACAAGTTGCTTACATCTGTTACCCCTCGGGGAGGAGCATAGGCCATCAACCAGCACTCTCCATACAACCCTGTCCTGGGCAATCCTTTCCATTTGCTATCCATCCATTTCATATCTGCTTCCGATTCCCGACGTAGCGTGTTCTTCAACATTTCGCTTTTCCGCTTCCTCTCACGATTTTAGGTCAAGGATTGCCTCGTGATGCAGTTTGGTGATTTCCGTAATGTATGTCCTATCCATTTCCATCGTCTTTTCATAATTTCCTCTTCAGCTAGAAGGTGGCTCGTTCTCTCCCACAAAAGGCTGTTGCTGATGGTATCCGGCCAATCGATGTTGAGTATCTTGCTTAGACAGCTATTTATAAGTACTTGTACCTTCTTAATGGTGGTTGTTGTAGTTCTCCAAGTTTCAGCTCTGTACAGTAGAACTGCCTTGACGTTCGTATTGAAGATTCTCACTTTGATATGGGTTGAAAGTTGTTTTGAGTTCCATATGTTCTTCAATTGAAGGAATGTGGCCTTTTGCTTTGCCAATCCTCGCCTTTACGTCTGCGTCTGAACTTCCTTATTCATCGATGATGCTTCCTAGTTATGTGAAGGATTCTACATCTTCCGGAGTTTCGCCATCAAGAGTGATTGGATTGGTGTTCTCCGTGTTGTATTTGAGGACCTTGGTTTTCCTCTTGTGTATGTTGAGGCCTACTGATGCAGAGACTGCTGCTACACTGTCCGTCTTTATCTGTATTTGTTCGTGTGTATGCGATAGAGGAGTAGGTAATCTGCGAAGTCCAAATCGTCTAATTGATTCTGAGCTGTCCATTGTATGCCGTGTTTTCATTCAGATGTCGAGGTCTTCATAATCCAGTCGATCACCAGAAGAAAGAGGAAGGAGGAAAGTATAAAGCCTTATCTGAATCCGTTTATCGTCTGAAATGCGTCTATCAGCTGTCCTCTATGCACGACATTGCACTGTAGTCCGTCGTATAAGTTCTGGATAATCTAGACGATCATCTCAGGAACTCCGTAGTGTCGAAGAAGTTTCCATAATGTTCTTCTATCTACACTGTCAAACGCCTTTTCATGATCAATGAAGTTGATGCATAGCGACGAATTCCATTCAACTGATTATTTAACGATAATCCGTAGTGTCGCAATTCGGTTTATGCACGACCGATCCTTACGGAATACAGCCTGTTGATCTAGAAGTTGGGCGTGTATTGTGTCTTTCACCCGGTTCAATAGAACTCTGTTGAAAACTTTTCGTCGTACTGACAGTAGTGTGATGCCTCTGTAGTTCTTACATTTGCCCAGATCGCCTTTCTTTGGTATCAGCACCTGTTCCTCCTCCTAAATCGTCTTGAATATAAGGTTAAGCATACTTGGAGTTACTTGTATGCCTGACTTCAGTGCTTCGGCCGGTATATTGTCAAGTCCAGCTACTTTCCCACAGTTAATTTGTCTGATGACCGGCCATTCTGATTTTTTCGATCTTTGGTGGAGTCACATCCATAGGAAGGTCTGTGTGTGCTGCTTCGATGTCCGGTGAATTCAATCGAGCTGGTCTATTCCAGAGTTCTCCGAAGAATTCTACCCATCTGTTCTTCTGTTCTTGAATCTCAGTGATTGTCTTACCTTCTTTGTCCTTGATCGGTTTATCTGATTAACTATATTTCCCTGCTATTTTCTTCGTTTTATCATATAGCTGTTTCATATTTCCTTCTCTTGCAGCTTTTTCCACTCTCGTTGCTCGTTCTTCCACGTATTTCTGCTTGTCGGCTCTAATGCTCCTTTTCAATTGCTTGTTTGCTTCAGTGTAGTCAGCTTGTGCCTTGACCTCTGTTTTTGTTCGATTGTTGTTAGTTACCATTTTCTTGTTCCTCCTTTCTTGAATCTTGTCTAGGTTTCCCATAGAGATCCATTCTTACGATGACGCTTCTTGTGTAAATCCTTCATTACCTTTAAAACTATCACTGTTTATTTTAATTTTTTATTCGTTAGCAATTTTTCATAAAGTGACAGCAATGTAGATAACATTTGTAGTACTTTAAACATAAGTCGGTATCAAATTAAACGAGCTATTAAAACTACTATTAATAACAATACCAATAGTAGTAATAAATCATTTTACCTACATTTCAATCATCAATAGGTATATTTATCATCCAGAAACATCACGTATCGACTCAAGGCTTCTCGCTAATGGTGGGGACAGATAATAACTGAGTGTGATACCCGTGTTTACTATCGTATTATTTTGCATATAATTTCAATATTTTTATTAGGTCAGATTTATGTACTTGTTAAATGCAGTGCAGAATTCCGTTAACTAGTAATCAATGGATCTAGTCTTGTATATTACTGAGTGAAATGTTATTATAGATGAAGGTATTGGATTTGAGGTAAGACATAAAAAGCGAAACAAACAGCGCTTACTCCTTTTCTTGTATTAAGCCAACATCAAGTTTCCTTTCCAATTATATAACATTTCTGAGATCGGATCCTAGTTTCAATCATATCACAGTCTTTGTTCATAGTCATACCAGGGGCTGTTCTCATGCCTTCAGTACGAATGTCATCCCGGAGAATTCCACGTCATGCATTATATGCCGACACTGAGACCGGTTGGAAAAAGCAGAGAAATGCGGATTATATGACATGGTGTCGTGGTATTGTAGTGAACGAAACTAATTTATTGTTTAACGCAAAATTATGTATTAAATGCATCATGTGCACATCTACTTTGCGTTTTCCTTTGCCTAATCGATTATTCCTCTAATTCTGCTGTTATTTTCATTGATCTACGATTTCCTTTCTGCTTCTTTCAATTCAATCTCCCTCTCCAAGGCATTCTACTTTCAATTGCGGCTGCATGCTACTTATATATGTCAGCATAAGTAGCAAACACCACAATATGAAAGAAAGCTGTACAGGACTGGCTTTTGTTGGTCCTTCACGACTCGCTGGTTGTGGTCCTAGAGACAGTATAACATAGTGGCTTGAGACGTTATCAGATATGACACAGAATAGAAGGCAGTGGCGATCCTACTATAACTTTCTTTTACTGTCTTCATTAAGGTGAACGTAACCTCTGACTGAAAGAATTCCTTCTGGTTGTATATTTCCCAACTGAACTGCTTTTCGCATTATTATTATTTCGCTCTCATACAATAAATTCTGTTCGTTGTTGTTCTTTTATTATAAGCACTTTACATTCTCTATGCTGTACCGTCTCTAATATCCCAACCAGGGAGTAGTGAAAAAACAAGAGAAGCCAGTCCTATACAGCTTTTTTCCATACCGCGACACTATGGCGTACACTGACCACCTATCCGGCTTTTCAAACCGAACTCTGTCGGCAAATAATGCACGACGTGGAATTCTCTGCGACGACACATCCAAACCACTGAAGTCGATGTTTCAAGATAGTAGCACTAATTGAATTGTCATTGCTATGTCCGAACACACGACACCGAACATCCGCATTACTGACATGTTGCCACTGGGTGTCAGCGACAAAAATGGCCCAGATTGGCATAAGCCGCTCTGGCTTACATTATAAGTGAATTGATTTCATCACTCACGCTACCACCAGCACCTGTGCAGCTACCCAGATACACGAACTTCTCGAAAACTATCCGCTTACTACCCAGTGTGAGTGTAGAATCAGAGTCCTGCCAGTCTTGTAAAAGTACTTTACACTTGGAAGGTGGAAAGCAGTTACCATACCTGAGAACACCAATTGCCAACTGATTAAGTGCGGATTCTATGACTTTGGCATCGTCACACAGTAAGGCAGTACCATTCGCGATGTGATCAATCTGATTCCAGGTTTGAGATGTAGAGGGAGGACGCCAGGTGGCACGTCGGCAATGACTGTGCCGATAGTTGCTGCTAGCCAGAAACAGGTTGTGGTCTGCGCGCAGTTGCAGGAGATGGTCACCGTTATCTGACCTGCGACCAACAAGTTTCCACCGGCCACCTAAACAACTCTCTTCTGTGCCTAGAGACTCGACTAGTACTAGTACTACAATATCTGTCGAACGCACCTTCTGTAGAAGAACTGTTAACTGGTGGAAAAACACACATACGTGATAGCATCCGGGCTGAAATCTATCGGAGCATAGGTGGAGATGAAGAAAAGACATCGTTTCTCACGCCGATTTCTTCTTACTTTGAAGGAAATTTCTAATCTAACAGCACATAACCGACAGCTAATAGGGATTCAATGGATTAGTGCTGCCTCAGCTCTAGTGCCCAGCGCAACACCAACGCTAACGAAACCAGAAGATGTCATAGGGTTCCCGGATAAACGCAGGTGAAACATGCTTTTCGAAGCGATAGATCGAGCTCGAATCTGTAGCACTTCACTAGAGTTTTGAATACGGGTCTCAGATAGACAACAGACATCGATATCGAGATTTTCTGAAGTTGTGACCAACCCTATTTGTTGTCCGGTCTGCATTAGTCCGTGAACGTTGAAGGAGGCCAGTCTGAATGGTATATGTGGTATCAGAAAGACTGGTTTAGTATTCGTATTCGGCGGTAGCATTCAACTTTCCATCAGTCAGTGACTTGAGATCGTTTAGATACGACAGGGATTCCACCATAGGCGAGCTTTCGTATAAGTTGAAAAATAAAATACGCAAAATGAAAATAAAGGGGAATACACAAGTGGGGTAGTATAAAAGAAATAAAAACGAATGCTATCATACGATTGTGAATAAGATTGGTCTGACAAAGCGTTGAAGCAAGAAAAACTTTTCCAGTCGTAGTTCTAAATGGTTTGTGTGAGGGCTGTGATACTGCCCGGGTGCCCCAACCAAAGCAGGTGATTATGAATATAATTGTAGTATCCGCCCATATGATTAGATTTCCTTGAGACAGGAACTCTCACGCAAAAACAAGTTCTCCTATCATTGCAAACATCTGCTTTTCCGTTGAAGTATACTTCTACATTAGTTATTTAATCTAACTTATCACGTTAAATTTGTTAACATTTCAGCAGTATTTACTCACTTGTTTGAAACACATCCACAGAATGTGATTGCATTGTTGTTTTCACTGAGATGTGAGCAAAACAGAACGCTGTCACATTCAAATGACTAGTCTTAAGTGAGATGAAATATTCTTCATGAACCGCAAAACATATTAAACAAATTTTAATTATACAAAGATTTATTTCCTATGCATTAAACAAGTACGAATAACAAAACCAAAAAAAGCGTAAAAATAACTTACCAGCTCGATAGCAGCTACGACGTGAAAATATTATTACTGTAACATGTTCCATATCTCTAATGATCATTGGCTTTAGATGATTATGACTAGAATTCTTATTTATATTATTACTATCATATGGATTATTTTTCGACGATAAATTATTATTTGAACTTGCCATATTACGAGTATTAAGACAAACAGTTTCAATAGTATTTTCTGTTATGGAATTACCGCCATTTGTCAGTGTCGTTATATCGACTAATTTATTTATTTTGCCATTTGAAATATCCATCAAACTATTCGATTGTGACAATTTTATTATTGAAGGTGATTGTTTTCTTTCCGTGCCTGGTGTTGGTGTTGTTGATGATGATGAAAACGATGGTATAGATGAGAAGACTAATGAATCGAATTCTACGTCTTGTTTAACACTGATATCAACATTATCATTAATATAAGTGAATGGCTGTAAGTGGTGTGCTGTTCTGCCTCCTCGAGCATCGATTGTGGATTGATCGTTTAAACCAATTATATTTATTTGGTCTTCTTCATTTGAGTTTGTATTTACGGAATTATTTAAAAATTCTACACCTATTAAAGGTAAATCACTGTTTGGTTTTTCAGTAAATTCTTTTGTTTTCTTTATGACATTCACTTGGAGATGACCTTGAAGTCGGTCTAAAATGAGCTCTTCAAAGTGTACATAACCTTGAACAATAGGCATTAACAGACCTTCTAAATCAGTTACTAAGCTATTGAATTGAGTTAGAGATTCAGAAGATTTGAAATTAGAACCGTAGGCTGGAAAACCGCATGTTGTAAGCATACGATCTGCTTCAATAATTGGTTGGGATATTAAATAAAAATTCCAGAAGAATCTTTCATCAGCACGTCTCCAAACAGGTTGATGCCAAACAGGTTTAAATTGTTTTGAAGAGTAGTATGATTGTTCTTCACTGGTAGTATTATCAGTTAAAAGATCATCAGTATTTACAGGTACACCATTCCAATAAGATGGGTGTGTTTTACGTTGGGTCCAATTGGTAAGATCACCTCCACCGGGGGAAAAATAGAAGTAGGATTCATCTTCAGATTGAAGCATATTGATTAACTCCTTGAAATCAAACAAAAGATGATGGCAATTACATGATAATAAGTGAATGGTATATGATATACTTTAAATATTTACAAGAATTCATAACAATCCAACAATAATGGCAATTAGTTGTTACATAAGAATGGATTGTATGTAGTTCATATTTAGCACCATGCTCTAGCATAAAATTATGTTATCAAAGATTCTCTAAAGTGATAAAATAACTATTGGATAGTTAAATGCAATAATTTTACACTAGCCATAATTTGACTAAATCAGTTAATAATCCGGAAATAACAATACATACAGAATGATAGGCTATACTTAGTTAACACGGTTTATTTATACAATTCAACGTCTAGAGAAGATAGATAAGTAATCTACACATTAGAGTGTAAATGGGTCACGTTTACTTATCAACTGTACAATGAAAGTTATTGAGATCAACTAGATGAAAACTGACGTGTATCCAAAATACAGCCAAATCATTCCTAATCAAGTTGTGTATATCAGCTGCATATTATACATTTTTCACTGTTAGACCCTTTTTATGTTCATCTTTGCCTCACCTGTTCTTATGAAACACTCCATTTACATGATATCACTATAATCAAAATACCTCTGACATAACATTACTCCCATTTTTATTGTATTCACATAATTTCCACTATATTCATTTGTACCTCATCACCTTACAGTTCTTCTCAAACATATTTTACACAACCCATACCTTTACTAATCACATATTTTGTAAGTACTTAATGAACGATCGACTTTCATTCCAATGCTTACAATCTATCACACAAATTCTCTCTCTCTCTCTCTCTCTATATATATATATATATATATATATATATATATATATATATATATATATATATATATATATATATATATAGTGCACATGGTCAAAAGAATTTCTTTAAAACGAACGTGAGTAGCTGTTTACGTTTGTTACTTTACTACAAGATACGAAAGATTTCTTGCAGAAGTACAAAGATGAAGAATTTTCATTTACTATTTTATCAGTAAAATAACAATAACCTATAAGAATTAATCAACTGTGCAGGCTAACACTGAAGGCAATCCATTTTCACAAGCAACAGAAGATTGTCAATAACAATAAACTATCGATATTAGTAGAAAACGTTAACTCTTTGATTGTGTTTAGAGTTTGTCAATATGAGTTTTTCCAATCATCGAACAGTTACAATAAGATAAAAATGCCAATTTAGATATTACGAAACGAAAAAAATATAACTTGAATGAAGAGATTTTTCTACTCGATAATTTCGTTATTATGAATCTACATTAAAAGTATATACGTTTTAAAAGTGATAATATAATCGATACTAATTTCTTGGTAATAAGTTAGTTTACAGTATTACAAATTCACAGTTATTTATGAACACAATAATGAATATTTATTGAGATATATTAGAGATTAAGATGAATATGACAGTTAAAGCGTTTTAAATTTGTTTTAATAAATGAGTTACAACAAGTTGTTATCACATTGTATAACAATTGATAAATGGCTTAGAAACTTGGTAAACGAACGTTACGCAGTGATAAACGGATGAATATTAGATATGATTAATTACAGAATCACTCCGAGCTATTAAAATAAAATATGAGGAGAATTCTATAAGATACTGATGGTCAGGGTGGTAGGGAAAACGGCTGTATAAATTTCTTCTGAGATCGAAGAGTTGGTCTTGTAAGATGAATGCAAACGACTTCAACGTGGTACAGTATACACATATACATAACACGTAGCATATTAGATGATACTTGATACACGAATAAATAAGCTTTATTTGGATTAACTTCATGTCTTATACCCAATAATCCAGATCAATCTTATCTGTTAGTTGAACTAAAAAGTCAAAAGACCTGTCTAAGGATCCTCTAATTTGATTTCGTATTTGGCGTTGTAACTATTTACCATGATGACTTTTGATGAAACAGTTTTCGACAGAACTCATTATTAATGTTATCCTAGCTGCAATCAGCTAGAACGTAGGCTGGGTCACTACAGACCTATTCATCCAGAAAACGTACAGAGATACAGAATAAATCTACTCAAAGGATTTTAGAGCTCAGACTGGTGGTACTTGATGTTCAGTTTAACAGAAGATTCAAACACTGAAAGCTATAACATGTGCTTCAGAGCTTTGTTTCAAGAGAAAACATACGACAGTTTGTGAGACAGGATTTATAGCAGTAGTTACAAATAAGAAAGAAAATGAAGCTAGATTAATAGATTTGACAGTACATCAAGAGAACGAAATCAATAAGCCAACGGACTGTAAAATGAATGAGCCCAATTGATGTTATGATTGTATAAGGAAATAACATTTTAATACTGCCCACATTACAGAAGAATGTTTTGCGTTGGGGAACTTGAGAAAGAATTGGTATTGGCATTGATTTGTGAAAAGAGCAAGAGAAAACAACGTAGAATAAGAACAACATCAGGAAATAAGAATAATGACAAACAATAAAACGAATCACAGTAATAAGATGTTAGTCATCGATATTAGAATAAGCAATGGAGATATCTGTATTTAACTAACATCTAGACATTTCGAAATAAATGAGTTGAAGCCTTTCGACAATTAACTCATTAGGATTAATAAGTTCGAAATTCTATCATATAATCACTGGAATATAAAAATAACTTATTATCTGAAAATGATGGAATCATAAAAGAAAACAAGCCAAATATGGTGTGTAAACAGGAAATGAAGTGGGAATAAAAATATTAAATGATATTAGACGGATTTCTGTGAGTAACTAGAATTGACTGGAAAACTAATAAACATCAAGAACTGCTACAGGACATCGGTTTTCATGTCAATTAGGGACTCGTTAGCAGTGCACACCTACAACTGCGTGGGGGGGTTGAAAAGCGAATTTTCAGGTTTCGTAGCAAACCAATCACGTTTACAGTGGATACCTAAGTTTCAATTAGTGTTTATTTTAACACATAAACATTGTTACAAGGAGGCACCAAGTATATAGGCGCAACACTTCATCATTCTAATTTTGAGAGGGCTAGGATATCTCTCGGACGCCCGAACCAAAGCAAAGGGTTTCATAAGGAGGCACATCCCGAGCCTTTGGTCTTGAAGTCTAGTCCACAAGGCAATGGAGCAACGTTAGGAGATGCAGACTCATGGTAGCCGGTAACCAAAGGTAGGTTCATACAAAATTCTTTCCCTCAGGATCCTGGATCCCATGTACACGATCGGTTTGGAATTAGGGTTTTCCAACTCTCCTAGGTGGATTCTCTGTATCCACCAACCCGTTTAAAGTGCCGGACACTTTCTCGTCGTTCTCTCAGTTTCGTATATAACACGCCTGCCGCAAGAAGGCAATGAGTAGCACTTCCCTGGTAGCAGCACTTCTAAAGGGAAAGCGGGGTGCCTCCATTCTCGAACGTACCAGGCATTTGGGGAGTAGTTTCGATCTACAATAGAATGATTTTAACAAATAATGACTATGTGTTGCCCAATGATCAGCTTCGAGATGGATTTAATGAAGTTCTAATAGAGTAAGTGAATCTTAGAGTCAAATAATTTGAAAGTGTGAAGGTAACTCAACGATAACCTTTTATACAGATCGTATCATACCAGCAACTGATAGAAATTAGACATATAGACTTGTGTTAACTGTAAAATTTGTAATTCAATTTCATATGAATTATAGAATTGTCCACAGTTTTTTTTAAAATGTTTCAATTGTGAAAAGTAATCTAAATTTCAAACTAGATGAAACTCCTTCAAACCTACTTAACTAATAGTTAATAAGAAAGACAGAAAGTCAATTATCGAAAATAAGAATTATACTTTGTTGATTACTTAGTAGATTCAATTTGTTAAAATTATCGTCAATGAGAAAATTTTATGTTAAAATAAGGAATTAGTATAAATTTTTAAATTATTAAGAGTATAAAAGATTTTCTTACAAAAAGAAATGAGAGAAGGAAAAGGAACAAGAGAAAAAAACAACATTGGAACAAAGTAAGATATAAAAGATTCAAGGAGAAACAGACTGTTATTAAAGAAATCAGACCAAGGTACACTTAAAATACACACACACGAATGTATAAATACATTCAAAACTTTACTTTAAAAAGACTACTTAAAATTTAAAAGTCTAGGATAAAGCAATCTAACTATTCAACAGTATAATAAATTGTCTTATTTATTTCTATTATCTTAGGAATATGAGGGTTCGGTCAGTCAGTCAGTTATACGAGACGTAGAACTTGTGGCATGTGTATACGCCAGTTCAAATTGTTATATCCCATTGGCATAGCAAAGAAGTTGTTCAAAAAAGTCCCAATGTAGTAGAGGTAGTAATAGTAATAGAAGTGCTATTAAAGATTCGTGAAATAAAAAAAATTATGGTGGATTTAGAAGCCTAAGAGTGAATGTATCTGCACCATTGCGGATGATTTTGAATCATGTCACCTACAGTCTCTAACCATTGACAACGATAATCATGCGGACATCAACCAGGCAGTCTACACCTATTTATACGAGTCAGTTTAATAATCAGCGTCCTCATGGACTGATGCCATGTTTTGGATTGGCTGGTCCTAGCTTCGTTCCGGCCTACTCGTACATCAGACATCATCGCGCATTGACGTATTCAGTGGAAGGCCATAAGTAGTACATATCCTGAGCATCTTAGTAAATAAAGATTCACTAGCTCATCGATCGATTTGTCACACTTGACTAGGAGTCTGCATCTAACCTCGGGATTGCTAAATAAATGGTCCCAAGATATACGACAAATGCTTCGAAGATGCCTATGATCGAACCCTCCATCAATTGTATAAAACTTTATCGTTCCTTCATTGCCATAACAATTACTCTCTGTTCCCATTCGCTTCAAATTGATCCTTCCACCCCTTTTCTCCCAAGAATTCCACTTGTGATTGGCATTGCAGGCCACTTATGTGTGATGACATAAGTAGCATACACTACAGTAATATTCAGCTGCACAAAACAGAGTGGTCGTTGGACCTAGGATTTAGTGGTTGAAAATTGAACACCTTAATCACTAAGCTACCCCTGTATTTAACATTTTAAAACTACGTTCATTCAGTAGACCCTATGCTTAACATTTTAACCGGCCAATATAATTAGGAAATACGTAAACTATTGTCAGTCATAAAAGCAACAATAATTCATGAACTCAATCATAATTTGATCGGTTTTTACAAGAAGTCTCTATGATTGATTTAGTAATATTGTATTAACCTGAAACATTTCGTTGTGTTGTTTCAAGAGTTTTCATGTTACCACTACTATCTGTCATTTGATATAATTTATACATTCCTTATTCGATTTAATTATGATTCCAAAACTTAGCTTTAAGCATTATGAATAGGGTTTTCACCATAAACTACGATTAAAAAAGATATTAGGGAAAACCCGAAAACATTGAAGATCCAATACTAATGCGCACTTCCAGAACTTTATAAAGCATTGAACTCATGACTTTCAAGTTTCCAGACGGGTAAAACATCAATAAGCAGCAGAATCCGAATCCAAAACAGGTACATTTTTAAACTTGAACTAATGGGTGATATAATGTGATCATTTTGAAATTCCATTCATAGGTTACAACATTGCTCTAGATATGAGTAACTCGACACATCACTGGTTCTAACCAGAACCTTTATAAATCGATTTTGAAAAAGAAACTAGTCACTAGTGTGAACAAGATTATTATTTAATTATGTGATTTATGAATTAATTAGGGTTAAGGTAAATTATCGTTATGGAATCGTAAACTTAGATTTAAAAAATAACGCTTCAGTTCCCTTTGATTTTTTTTGAATAATTCTTCAACTGACTTTAGACCAAGAAAATTACATTGTAATTCAATAAATTTTCATAAACCATCCAATTAAAGCTGTGACTATTTATTACCTTAATTCTAAAGAAACCCTGAACATTTAAATAACGGAAAATAGATTGATGTTTTTTAAAAATAGATTTGTTGAATAATCTTGTGGTGTGGGTTACTTATATCCACACAAGTAGTATATGACGGTGGTCAGTCATAGAATGTATTTCAGTGGAAGATCGAGAGGGAAATAATGGGAACGAAACGCAATTAGTATAAAAACACATGAACAATGAAATCTGAGACAATGGATTGATGTTCGCAACAGGAACAGTCAAGTTTGAGATGATGAATTGATATTTTGCAAACTACCAATTACTAAATGGATCTCAGATGTTAGTGAGATGCCCTGTAACTTTGTACTCAAATACATTCAATTGTCCCCATTTATGTTCTTTTTCACTACAATCCCACCAAAATGTATGCAGGACAATTAAGAGTTTGGAATTCAATGTTGAAGTACAGATACCCGATAAACATTTGGTACAAAAATTGGTCAGCATTAGTTACACTAGTGATTAATTTAATTATGTAATAATTTCCGAAAAATGCATCAGAAAAAACATGGAAAAAAACTATTCAACAAAAGGAAATATTTGACTCTTGTTGCTGTGTTAATGTGATAATAGTTTTTCAAGTTAAGAAATAACAACTAATCAATAAACAACATGAAAGTAACATAATCTTACCTCTTCAATACGTTGCTCATATTTCTCTTTCCGTTTAAGTATTCTCTGATATAAGAGATGTGTGTATCATCCAAAACAGTAGTATAGACAAAAATAGAAAAGCAAGGTAAGAAATATTGGATGAAAGAAAGTACAAAACATGAAATTTATTTGGTAGTATAATTGCATAATTTTATTCGCGTTATAATGAATTTGAAAGATAAAGTTCACCAAAATCATACAACATATATCAAGGTGCTGTGTTCAAATATCAACTATTATACTAATAGTATTTGGATTATTTAAAACGCTATGCAGATAATCAGAAGATCTAGCAGTGCATGTTGGAATATGGTGATGATGGTTCAATACATGTTACTATTTTGAAACGTCAGTTTCGATGACTCGGTGACCTTTTAAAATATGTTGTTCTAGTAGTTACTGTTTAGCACACTTATTGTCCCACATTAAGACTGCGAGCGGAATGGAAGAGGTGACCTACTTATGATATGATACGTAGAAATGAGGTATATTTGTGTGAAAGTAACATTCGATGACTTGTCATAACCTTCTGTTGAAGTGCTAACTATTGTATATTTGAATGCCTTTAAACAATAACCCACATACCTCAAAATACAATTTATATGGGATCCTGCTAAGATGTAGCTCTCTAAACCGAACAACGAATTAATTGGTTTTGTTCTTACTTGAATAGCCTTTAGTAATACCTTTTAATCCTTCCAAAAAGAACTACTCCCTTTTTATTTAACAATACTTTTATTTCCTTCTGTGGACGTCATTTTTTAGTGTTCTGTTATACCAAGCGCTTTGTGTTATAAATCAAATAATATACGTAATTGCAATCGCATCACACTACACATGGAAATCTACCGTAAGCATAATGGTAAATTTAATTTGATTTGAGCTGTCCCAAATCTATAAACTAATCATCTCTCCTTGTCTCTTGAATTGACTTTAAATCCATAACGGGATTCATAGTGTTGACTTTACAATTTCTTCACACATCTGTTTCGTGTCTTTCACAACTCCTTAAATACTTATAACTGACATCTTATATTCAGAATAATACAACAATATAGTCAGTCAGTCAGCTACAAGGTAGGACCAGGCACATGTGCATCGGTCCAAGTTGCCATACCACATTAACACAGCATAACGAACACTGGATTCATAGAGGCAGTTAACTCAATGATGGTAATATATAAAAGAAAGATTTTATGTCAAGATATAATACAGTAAGAAAGAATTAATTCGTAGAAAGAAAGGTAAGAAGTGATTTTAATCTCATAGTTTAAGGGAAGACAGAGAGTGCATACACATACGCCATTGTAATCGATTCTGAGCCATGTCACACAGAGTCTCTAACCATTAGCTACGATAGTCACTCGGACCCCAACCAAGTAGTCTGCATCTACCAACATGGCTCAGAACAGAAGTTAGTGACTTCAAGCACTGATCCCACGTTTTGGTTTGGCCGCCCCTAAAATTCTTCCAATCATCTCCAACACCGGTTAGCATTGGACATCGTGGTAATCGGTGTTCAGGCATACGTAACACGCGGCCCAACCACCTCAGTCGATGAAGATTAACAGCCTCATCAACTGACTTACCATCATTCCCTAATACCCTGCGTCGAACCTCACTATTACTTACCCGGTGATCCCAGCAGATGCCAGCAATATTTCTGAGGCATCTGTGGTCAAATACTAGTAGCTTACGAGTATCTTCTACTCTTGATGGCCATGTTTCCCTGCCGTAAATTAAAACAGAACGGACTGTCGCGCAATATACTCGTCCTTTTGTTGATAGACAGATATCTCGCCTTCGCCATAGGTGACGTAAGTTGGTAAAACCCAAACGAGCTTTTCGAATCCGTGATGAGATTTCGTCAGACACCAACCCATTAGGGCTGGTCAGACTCCCAAGATAAGTGAAGTTGTCAACGAGTTCGATTACTTCACTCCCTATCCTTAGTTCAGGTGTTGACGCAGACCAGTCCTGAAGCAACAACTTGCATTTAGAGGGCGAGAAGCGCATTCCAGACATTCTGGCATTGTTGCATAGTGCTACCAGAAGACTCTGCATTTTATCAGCGTCTTCATCAACAGGACTATGTCATCTGGGTATTCTGAGTCAATAAGTGGACCTCCTGGAAGGGGATCAATACCCGAGAATTCAGTCAAGGAGAATGTTATTTCCATCAGTAGGTCTATGATGAAGTTAAACAAAAATGGAGAAAGTGGACAGCCTTGATGGACACCACTTGAGGTTGCAAAAGCAGATGACAGTTCGCCATAAGCTGTGACTCGAGGTACGCCTTTCAATGACAGACACCGACACAGAACCTCTCGGTCTACAGAGCCAAGCCATCATTGTTGGACGCCGACGAATATGCGGTCGATGCAGCCACGGCCAGGTCTGAAGCCAGTCTGACTTTCTCGTGTTTGTAGTCCACGAGTCTTTCTTAGGCGTCCGGTAATTATTGAGGATAGTATTTTAGATGCTGTGTTAGTCAAACTACTCCCTCTATGGTTATCACAGGATGATTTTGACCCCTTCTTATATATTGTGATTGAGACCAGTTCCCAGATCTTAGCTAAAATATTTGTCAACCTAATCGCTAAAACTGGACCACCATCCTTAAAAACGTCCGTACCCAATCCGTCTGGACCAGCTGCCCTTTCCTCAACTTCAGATAGAGTCAGGAGACTTACTTCAATGTTCGATTCAGGCTGTCTGGGAATGGTGGGCAGTAATAGAGTAGCTGAAGGCCAGCTGAACTGCTTCTTAAAGTGTTCCACCCATCGTTCTAAACATCTGGACTGGGAGCAGATATGAGTGTCGTCTTTTTCCGATATCGTCTCACTTAAACTTACTAATTCCGGTTTCCTTTATTAGTCTGAAGAGCTGTCTTGTATTACATACAGCCGCCGCCTTTTCCATCTCTTTCGCATTCGTTGCCCACCACTGCTCACAGTCGTTCCTTAGACTTTTGGTTAACCTAGATTTTATTTGCTTTCGCTCTTCATCGTGTTCAGAGCCTGATGGGATGAGTTTACGATAACCCATTAGTGCAATAGAGTTAGAAGAAATCTATTGGTTTTTCATAACCCTTTGGTTTAAATCGCTAATAAATGTCACTGCTCTTTCCACAGCTGATTGTATATCTTTTCAAGCAACATCTAGGACAGCCTTGTTTTCAGAACTACCTAAGTGTGACCTCAGTTGTTCCTGAAATCTACTCCTAGCTTTCTCGTCACTCAATTCAATTCTAATGGGTCTTCTTAGTGTGGCTTTTCTGAGTCCAGTGAGGCGCAAGCAGATCCGTGCCCGTATTAGAGCATGGTCGGAGTCCAAGCAGCTACTCCAGAATAAGCGACAATCGTCTGTCTCCAACGATGACTGATGGCAATATGATCTATTTGAGTCCATCGTTGGTTTGATGCAGGCAGTCGCCGTGTTAGACGATGTCTCTCCTTATGCTTAAAACAAGTGCTTGCTAAAAATAAACTATTGTCTGAACACAGTTGAAGCAGACGATCACTATTATCAGTTCGCTGAGCCGGGATACTAAAATACCCACCTAAATGCCTTCCTGTTTGGATTAAGCTACCTACTTGGACATTAAAGTCCCCTGCTACGAGTACATTGCCTGAGTGTTTAGCTTTCTGAAAGAGTTCAGAAAACTCTCTGTGCAATCCATCCTTCACTTCATCCTGGCTGAGGTCAGTGGGAGAGTAGGAAGAAATCGTGAAAAAGCAACGACTTGTGTCCCCATCCTACTGAGTCATTATGGTACCGTTTAGCTGAACAGAATATAGGCGATTGTTAAAAGTGATCCATTCTAAAAGTGCTTGTTCTACCCACACACTTGGTGCTATGCTTACACCTGCCAGTCCACGAGAACTAGCCATCGAGTTGCCAGATATACGAAGGCTGTATCTCGTCGGATCTACGTTTTGGCGAGGTGAGGTTAAATGAATGACCACACTGGGATCCTGTATGCGTGTTTCAAAGACACAGCATACATCAATGGTACGAGATTCTAGAGACTTAGCCAAGAATGCCTGATGGCCGATTTAAGACAGGATGCGTACGCTGAAGGCTCCAATGTGTAGTTTGTAGCGAAGTTTCAGTAGACCTAGGACAATGTTTTGAGCGCTAGAATCGTTAGCTATGGTGACACTTGAGGAGAAAGCCAAAAGAATCTTAATTTTGAACGTCGATGTAGGAGGAATAATAGGAATTGAAGAGGGAGGTTGATGATGAATACAGTGGTCTTGAGTGCTGTTAGAGGTATGAAGGTGGTTATCACTTCCCAGTTGCCTACACCGTGATAGGGTCTTCTAGAGGTACCTGGAAAGGAAATTGGATTAGAGGTGGTCTTAGTGACATGAGAGCGTGACCACAGTTCCTAAGAGACAACTGCTTGGAGTCAGTCACATACAGTAATTTTCGTGTTAGCTAAGTACTTGTTGAGACCTTACCGCCGGAAACGGATGTCCGTGGGATAAGGTGAGGTGTGTATTTTTAGGGTCGACCTCTTCTAACCCCACCCCTCCTTGTGGGAAGGCAGCATCGCTGTTATGCTGGTTGTCTGAAGGAAACACCTTACTTTCATCACACCTCTGTACAGTCAGCAGTACGACCTTGATGTATTAATCTAATGAAAATTGGATACGTAGAAATATTTAAGAGAAAATAGGATAGAAGTAGTTAATATTGTATTATTAAGAGAGTAACCAGTACAAAGATTGTATTATTTTAAGCGTAAAATATAAAGAACATATACATTTTGTTCACAATAACAAAAATCTCAAAGAATATACTGAAAATTTCAGTGAACGATGGAAAAAAGGTAGAAAAAAACATGAAAAGCAGATGAGTAAATAAAAAACGTGATTAAAATGTTATATGTTTAACAAAGTAACATGTTTGTACAGAATAAAACACACGTACATAGTGCACACTCGCTCAAATAGTCAAGTGCGTGATATCACAACGACAAAACATAAAGTACAACAAAAGTTACTAAACTAAATAGATACAGAAAAAACACCCGTGGTAATATTCTTTTGGTTGAAACTATTTCGTAATTCTCTAATAGTATGAGTAGTTTTAACTACTTTTTAAACATAATAAATTATATATCTGTAAGGGTTGTTTCAATCTTCTCGTTGTTAATATTACAGACAGTAATTAATTACTCATTTGGTATATGTGCATCCTGTGTAAATTACTTCGATATTGCCATTAAGGTATGAGTATTTTAATCAGTGTTGAATAGTGGAATCCAGGATAAATTTTTCGTCCTGACTGAGATTTATCAGTTGGATGCGCTTGTAACCTGATGTTGATATTCATGCCGGAACTCACATCCAGTATATTTTGCTCCAACTCCGCTTACAGTAAATCCACTAAGTGTGTAGAAGTGTACGATATTGGAATAGGAAATGTAATTAGTTTGTGTGGCTGATAGATAATGATACATCATCTAAGCTCAACAAGAAAAGAAGGATTCACAATAATAATAGACAAAAATGAGAAAACGTGACTTACAATAATACAGATTTGATAATAAAGTCAAGAAACATTTGTATACACAGTGATTAACACTGGGTTCTTGGGTAACCTCTTTTACTCCTCGGTTCATAGAAAAACTGTAACATGTGGTCTCTTAAGAAGAAGATAAATGGACAAGGAAGGTTACTGAATAGACAGTCTACAGAATTAAGGTGAGCGAAAAACACAGAAATCTTTTGTAAGTGAAGATAAAGATGCTTGTTTAGAGAATTAATGAAGTTTTAGGGTACTTAGGATTAGTTTCTGATCTAAGCGGCTATGAAAGACAAAAATAATCATAGAACAACGAGGTTGAAAAACTGGATTAAATTGAATGTTGTTTGACATAATAACATGATAAATTGATTATTTTAGCTGAAAAGTCTCAAAAAGATCAAAAGGAAAGATAAAGAGTAAAGAATTAATAATGTTCTCAGATGTTTACTTTTCTAATATTAATATTTCAGGCTACTTGAATCACGCAGTCTAACAGTGGAAAAATAATATGCACATTTTATACTACTCAATTTTAATTAAATAGTTTATCTTACCCATCTTGGATTTCTAGTGTCAGGAGGTATGACATGTTTTTGCATTAGTCTCATAAAAGGACGTTGGGGAATGTTTTGTATTGTTGGTTTGGTGGTTTTCTTTGGAATTTCTGGATGAGAACGTGTACATGACTAAATAAATGTGAAGAAAGAAAGGAAAGATTATATATATATATATATATATATATATATATATATATATATATATATATATATATACAGGAAATAGTTAAACACAATGGATATCAAATATCAAACACAGTTGGGCAAATAAATAAACAGGGTTGACGAATAATGTTAAAAAAGCCCTCATCGCACCAACATTCTAATAAACAATCTTTTCACCTTTACAAAGCTCTTTTGTTTGCAATTTAACAAGAGAGAGAGAGAGAGAACAGCATGAATTTAGTCATTATGGGTATCGACAAAAAGCGGAACTTAACAGTTTCCTTATATTCTACAGTAGAAGGATGGTTTTTCAATAAAAGAAATAGGTTACATAAGTAGAGAAATTAATCGGGAAATAACAGTTATGAATACATTTTTCACCGAATTATAAGGGCACATCAACCAATCGATATGGTCAAGTGATAGCTTTTCATGAGGTGTATTTTAAAAATGTAACCCGAAAGGTGAGAGAAGGGAAGCTTTCAGATGACATTCTTTTTTGCAAAAAAGGTCGCCTTCAAAAGCCGTACAATCAGACTTGAGAGGATTTAAAAATTTATACGCAATTCTGAAAAAGAAATAACAAAAATAGATTATAGTGACTATAAATAGCTGACTGCTTAAACAGCTAAGCTGCGATCTTGCTGATGTACAAACCACATTAGATTATCTACATGTTCTATAGGCTTTTCTATTTCAATAATTTTCCTTCCGAATCGTAATATGGTAGAAATTAAGCAATAGACATGAGACCTAGATGTTATGGGTTCGATCACTGGCAGGACCATGGTTGTGCACTACTGAGGAGTCTCATACTGATACGAAGTAGATGTTTGTCGCTTCCTAGTTTTTGATGGTACTTCAACTGAAATCGATCTGCAACGAATATAACCTACAAATTTCATCAACATTGTAGAGGGTAAAATTTGTTACTTTTGTTATGACTTTTTGTGAATAACTGTTACAAAATAGACTCATTTTTTCCCCAATTATCACGAACAGTTTAATTAGTTAAAGTTTTATCATTTAATTCAATTTTGTTGAAAATTTATTAAAAATCTTTCTTTTCCTATGGTTTCTTTCTGTGGTATATAATAACATCTTTCTCAGGTAGAATATAATAGGTAGGGATGGAAAACAAAAAAAAACACCATAGCAACTAAATAAAAAACAACTGGATTCAATGAGCATTACAAGTCTATTAAAAAACTCTCTACCATTAGTTTGAATTGTTTTTTTTAAAAAGATAGTTGACGATTTACACTTATAATGAATAAACTAATCTAAGTAAATAGAATTTAGCAGAAGATTATATCAGCAATACGATGGGTAATAAATAATCATTTGAAATTTCTTCAGAATGTTGAATTATAACTAACTGAGGATAAATTCCGTTTAATTTTCTACTACGTGATACTTGCTACTGAAAACTGTGAATAGGATGAGGCAATGAAGAATTTGAAAAAGAAGAAGAAAAAGGAAATAGGGATAAGAAATGATTTACCTCATTAGAAAAGTCAATATAATGTCTATGTAAAGTAATGTCTACACAATTTGCACTGATCAATAGTCAGATTTGTATATATTAAACTGGGTAGTACTTGCCATTATACTGATAAATAATTTATTGAATAAACACTAACCATCTATAATCAATCGATATACTAAAAATATTACTCCTTTATAGAAAATTGAAAAAAGAAATCAATATTATAAGTTACTGACAATTTAATCTTAGCTTACAATTTTTAGTGGTCAGTAGGGTTTCCTATGTCAACTACCTTCAACATCAAAAAATAATATACATAATATTGAGTTTATTAAGCTAGTGATCACAATTCAACTTAATCGATAACGACAATGAGTACTCAAGAAACATACACAGAAACAAACAATAGAAAGTTAATGTCTTATTTCAAACCCTGTAGTTTTAAACACTTCACTATCTGGTGTAAAGAAAGCTGGTCAATCAGGATTAAAAATTCACTAAAATAGCAAAGATGGACCACTCAGTTCTTACTTAGTACTTAAAACATGTTATATATATATCACTACAGTAGTTGGATTTTAGGAAAATGCGTTTCGTTCTGTTTGGGACTTATCAGCTGGATGTATCTGCATCTCAATGACCAAATGAACGCAGTAATTCAATCGACAAAGCGTTAATGTTTGAAGCGAAAGGTAGTGAGTTAGTCTCAATGTAAACATCAACACAAGGATGCATGTGTATCCAGATGACAAGTTTTAAATGGAACGGACAGCACATCCCAAATTTTACCGTTATCTACAATACATAAATTTAAGATGTGCGACAAACTGACTATATCGGGGGAATCAGCAAAGGATGTAAAAATGCCAATAAACTGGTCGAATTTCAGTCCTAAATATTAACAACAGGATAATTGGAACTCGTACCAATAATGGTCTTTTGGTATATTATGAACTACAGATATATATTAGAAGGGGTTTTGTGGAGATTTTTTTTTAGAAATTTCAGTGGGTCCTGGGTTCGAATCTCTCGGGGAACGGGATCGTGAATGCGCACTGCTGAGGAGTCCCATACTAGGACGAAACGGCCGTCCAGTGCTTCCAGGTTTTCCATAGTGGTCTAGCTTCAACTGACTCATGATCTCAACTATTGAAATATATATATATATATATATATATATATATATATATCTTCTATTGATTAATGGTTATTGACTCGGTAACTAGTTTAGATGTAATTAATTTGCAAGCAAATTAAAAAGCGCTTTCTATTCCCAATAATCTGAATATTGATCTTTTTTTAACTTTTGATCATTATATCATTTTGCGCGGAACATGTGTTTTCTAACCTATTTTGGACTATTGTTGAGTAAGTGTATATTTAAACATTTACTTTAGTAAATGGTTACAAAAATGAAACAACACATACAAACACAAAACAAAGTACAAAAGCAATACTGAGCCAGTAAACAAAGTAGAATAAGCTTCCTATTTTAAAAAAAAAAGAAACAGATATAAACACTGAATTTTAAACATGATCATACTGAAACAAAACAAACTTAAACTATAAAATGTATATTTTAGTCAGTTTGTAATTGGTAACATACGTACAATAACCTTTATATACGGTACACAAGTTTAAGAGCTGTACATTTTCCAAATTGTTATTTACATGGAGTATCAGATGATTTAGACCTTCATCTGATCAATCTAATAAAGCACTAATAAAAACAATCATTTTAATTACAGCTGAACACTAATTATTACGACGATAATTACTTGTTATCCCAGTAATTAATAAATAAGAATATATTTACAGATAAGCATACTAATATATAACCGTGGCTTTCGGCCTGTGACATGAGTAATTATCAAACTAAAAAGGTCACTCAGTAAACAGGTTCATACTTGTACACTTAACTTGGAGACATAATTTTGTGTGAAGGCATATGATGATACGTAACGGATCATAGAACGAAAAGTGTAGTTAAATTAAGATCGACAGCTCAGTGGTGCTTTAATCATAAACTATAGCGTCGTAAAGGTATATATAGCCATGGTTAAGTTAGACCTTACATATTTTTAAATTCAATTGAGTAGAAAAGAGTTCAAACTCGTAATCTCTCGACCAAAAGTTAGTTATAAGCTTTAATTACTAAGCCACAATACTATGGCGCCTTCATACTCTTAAGACAGTTACTATAGATAACACTATATAATGTTATGTGACCACTGGGGTTCAAACAGAAAGCACAATCACAGTATTGGCATATTTTTGTGACAGCGCCAATCCTATCCAGGAAATCATTGGTATACGATTCTGCATCTAGATCCCCAAATACCATATTACGACCGAGGGCGAGAAGATCCTCTCCCTCTCTCGAAATGCTCTCATATGGCCATGCGTATATAACTACTGTCAGGAAAGTCCTACTCACTCCCTTCTTGTTGCGAGGGTTGTTTACAAAGTTGGGAGGACGAAAAGTGAATGTCCAACACTTAAACCGAATAGTGGGTACGCACGATCTACATAGGAGAGTGGGAAAGCCTTGATTCTAAACCAATGGTGCACATGAGCTCCAGGATCCTGAGACTATCAGTTTATCGCATAGTATCAAAGGATATCTCAGTTGGATTAAGCTATGTTGGCTAATATTAAAAAGTTGTGGATATGATCTTAGAAACAATGCAACTGAGAGGCTTCAGACAACCTACACACAGTCAGTCAGTCAGTATCAACGTGGGACTTTGTACGTACGTACATCAGTTCGAGTTGCCACACCACATTAGCACAGAGATGCAGTTATTAATTCAAATTCCGTAGTGATAGAGGTAGTAAGAGTATAAGCAGTAATCGGAAACATTAGGGTTTTAAGATGTTATTCAAGGAGTATAATCCAGTGAAATAAATTTGGAAAGAGGAAAAAAGGGACATGAAAAATTCAGAAGACTAGAATTTGGGAGAACACAAAGAATGGATGCACATGCGCCATTGCAAACGATTTTGAGCCATGTCATTCAAGATCTCTAACCATCGGTTGTTATCATCTCGCGGTCCCCAACCAGGTAGTCTACACCTACCAACATGACTCAGTTCATTTGTCAGTGACTTCATGGACTTGTGCCATGTTTTGGTTTGGCCGCCCCTAGCTTTCTTCCAACCTACTCCTATACCACTGAACATAGCACGTCGAGGCAGTCGGTCGTTGGGCATACGTAACACGTGTCCCAGCCATCTCAACTGATGAAGTTTCACTACGTCATCAATTGATTTGCCATCCTTACCTAGTACCCGTTTCCTAACAACCGTGTTACTTACTCGATGGTCCCAGGATATACGAGCAATGTTTCGAAGACACCTATGATCGAATACTAGTAACCTACGGATATCCTCTACTCTTACCGGCCATGTTTCACTGCCATAAAGTAGGACGGAACGAACTGCTGCGCAGTAAACACGTCCTTTGGTTGATAGA